TACCCGAGCGCCGGCCCTGCTATGTGTCTCTGTGGGCCGGTGGGGAGATCAAGGATCTCCCTCACCGGCCCAGAGGCATGGAAATGCGGCCGCCGGCTGGGTGAGGGAGGGAGGACCCGGCGGAGCTCTAACAAGCAGCTCCGCCGGGTCCTCTCGCGGGATTCTGAGCGTTGCCGCGGTAACGGCAACGCTCAGATCTCGCGAGAGTGAACTCTAACACGCAGGTTAGAGTTCACTCTCACCACTGGACCACCAGGGAAGGCAGCATGGTCCCCCTCCACCATGGATACCCGGCTCCCCACACCCACGCAGAACGGATCTCCCCCCCCCTCCCAGGTTAAAGGTAAGAAGGGGGGGGGGGGAACATAACTTTTTTTTTTATTAATAAAAAAATATATATTTAAATAAAATACATTCACTCACACACACAGCACCCAGACACACACAGCACCCAGACACACACAGTGACAGAGCACCCAGACACACACAGCACCCAGACACACACAGTGACACAGACACACACACAGCACCCAGACACACACACGCACCCCGAGACACACACACAGCACCCAGACACACACAGCACCCCCAGACACACACAGCATCCCCAGACACACACAGCACCCCCAGACACACACAGCACCCCAGACACACACAGCACACCCCAGACACACACAGCACCCAGACACACACAGCACCCAGACACAGCACCCAGACACACACAGCACCCAGACACAGCACCCAGACACACACAGCACCCATACACACACAGCACCCAGACACACACAACACCCAGACACAGCACCCACAGACACACACAGCACCCAGACACACACAACACCCAGACACACCCACCCAAACTCACACTGCACCCCAGACACACACACACAGCACCCCCAGACACACACAGCACCCAGACACACACAGCACCCCCAGACACACACAGCACCCCCAGACACACACAGCACCCCACAGACACACACAGCGCACCCAGACACACACAGCGCACCCAGACACACACAGCGCACCCCCAGACACACACAGCGCACCCAGACACACACAGCGCACCCAGACACACACAGCGCACCCAGACACACACAGCGCACCCAGACACACACAGCGCACCCAGACACACACAGCGCACCCAGACACACACAGCGCACCCAGACACACACAGCGCACCCAGACACAGTAACCCAAACTCACACACTGCAACCCCCAGACACACACAGCATCCACACACACAGCACCCCAGACACAGCACCCAAACTCACACTGCAACCCCCAGACACACACCAACCCCCAGACACACACACAGCACCTAGACACACACAGCACCCCAGACACAGCACCCAAACTCCACACAGCGCCCCCAGAGACACACAGCGCACCCAGACACACACAGCACCCCCAAACACACACAGCGCACCCCGACACACACACAGCACCCCCAGACACACACAGCACCCCCAGACACAGCACCCAAACTCACACTGCACCCCCAGACACACACTGCACCCCCAGACACACACAGCACCCCAGACAGACACAGCACACCCAGACAGACAGCACCCAAACTCACACTGCACCCCCAGACACACACAGCACCCCCAGACAGACACAGCACACCCAGACAGACACAGCACACCCAGACAGACAGCACCCAGACACACACTGCGCACAGAGACACACAGCACCCTCACTCACATATACAGCACACACACATATATATATATATATATATATATATAAAATAACCCTCAGTGAGTTAACAGACAAAGAAAATTAGAAACCTAGAATGTGACAGCAGATAAAAACACCCTCACACACAGCACCCCTCTTACATACACACACTGCGCCCCCCACACATACAATAAGTCCAAATATATATATACATACACACACACACACACACACACACTACAGCACCCCTCACACTGCACCACTAAACACATTACGCTCCAGATACACACTAGATCCCTTACCCTATATGCACTCTTAATCCTCTACACACACACACACACACACACTGGGTCCTTTACACAGTAGATCTCCTACACACACACACACACTACATTCCTTGTCAGCAAACACATACAACATTCTCTAAACACACCCTCTCTGCAACCCCTACACACACTAAGTCACCTATACACACACACTTCAGCCCGTATGCACACACTCGCTGCATCCCCTATAAAACTATGCCCCCCCTATACACACACTCTCTACAGCCCCTAGCCACACATATTACACCACAAACACAAATTAAATTGACCTATTTATACAATACCACACCACACTCTACACACACGCAATCCCACAAGCAGGCTCCAAACATATGCACCATGCACTTTCCTGGCCCTTTTGTCCTCAGGGCCTTTTTCTAATGCCAGAACTGTTCAGCAGGGCTCTGGGCATTGAACCAACATGCTCACTTTGAGAGGGGGCGTGCTTGTCATTAGTGATGACAAAACACACCCTCTCTGGCCTCGCCCCCTTCTTGGGGGGCCGCTCTAATTGAAAAATGCCCGGGCCTAATTTTTTTCCCAGTCCGGCCCTGGCTATATTTACCATGCTTGTGAAGTTTCAGGCTGCTGGTCTTGCAACAGTTAACAGACCACCACCTGTCTCCCCCCTGCACAGAATGGTAGGTAGCGTGGAAACAATAATTTCTAATCCTGTGGGTATGTGTCTGAGTGTGTCTGTGTATGCCTGTGTGCTTACCCATGTGTGATTGTTTTGTGTATGTATGTTGTTATGTATGTATATGTGTATGTTTTTTTTTAGGTTATATAACCCTTCGTAATAGTCCGCTATCATATTGTTTATGTCCTGTGGGTTATAAATTTTGTTTCCCTGCTCGTTGAAGAGGAAGGGTATTTTGGCATTCAGTTGTTTCTGTCGGAGTGTTGATGCCAGTGCCTTCCCTGCTTTATTTCCTTGTGTATATGAGTTGAGTTTTAGTCTATGCATGATGTTCATTGTCTTTAGTATATGTGTGTCATTGATTTGTTTCTGTATGTGCTGTATGTGTTGTTGTCTGTCCGGTGTTGGCTGTGAGATTTGGGCTCTAGTTTCATCTCTAAGGGATCTAAGTAGGTGTACATACTCGTGATTTGACTTGCGCTTGAGATAAGATGCTCTACTTATGAGATGTCCACGTATAACTGCCTTATGAGCTTGCCACACAGTGGCAGGTGAGATATCAGGAGTGTTGTTTTGTGCAAAGTATGATATTATTTCTGAGTTTAGCTTGTGGCTAAATTCCGGATTTTGTAAAAGAGTGTCATTTAAACGCCAGGGTGTTGTTCCTCGGAAAGCAAAGTTATCTTTGATTGTTAGCCCGACAGCAGCGTGGTCCGACCAGGTTATGTCGCCGATATCGCTATGGGTTGCGTGTGGTAGTAAGTCACCAGTGATTAGTATGTAGTCAATCCTAGAGTATGTATGGTGGACAGACGAGTAGAATGTGAATTCCCGGTCGGTTGGGTGTTGGGTCCTCCAGATGTTATAGAGTCCATACTCCGAGAGTAGTCGTGTTAGTGCTGTTGTCTGTTTACATATGTTTTTATATCTAGGTGATGTATGTGGTAAGGTGGTGTCTAATTTGGGCTGTAGTACATGGTTGACGTCTCCGCATATAATTTGGGGAATGTGGGTCATGGTCGGCAGTTTCGCTAGTATCTTGTGGAGAAAATTTTTCTGGTTATCGTTTGGCCCGTAAAAACTCGCTATGAGAAATTGTATGTTGTTTATGTTGCAATGCAGTATGATATATCTGCCCTGTGCATCTTTTTTTAGTTGCAGGAGTTCAAATGTTAGAGATTTATGAATGAGTATGGAGACTCCCCTAGATTTGGAGGAGTATGTTGAATGATATTGTGTTGGGTAGTCCCTGTAGGCGAATGTAGGGACTCTGTTGTGTACAAAGTGCGTCTCTTGCACACAAAGTATATCCGTTTTGTACTTTTGTGCTTCTTCCAGCAGTAGTCTGCGTTTATGCGGTGTATTTAACCCGCGGGTGTTAATTGATTGTACCTTCATCTACTAAATACGGATGTGGGATGATTGCTAGGCATTGAAGCATGCGATTTATTGGTTTGTTATTTGTGGCAGGATGTAGTGTCATGAGAGTTTGCGCTAGTGAGGTAAAGATTGTGTGATATTGCGATGTTATAATATGGAGTCCCATTTTTCGTTGCATGTTATATCTTGAGCGTGCTCTATCTAGTGCTGCGTTGGCATAGATGTGTCTTATGTTTTGGGTTGGTCTAATAGGGGTACTGACAAGGGGTTTAAAACTTGGTGGGGAAGGGATAACTATGTACATTATGTCTCTTTGCGAGACAAGGTGTGGAATTGCCACACCATGGGGGTTGGAGTTGGTTTTTATCTCCATCAGCGTGGTCCATGGGCTGTGTTTAGAAGTCACTGCATGATGTGCTATGTGTGGTTTGGTCGTATAGCTGGGTAGTACAATTATGGAGTTGGGTCGCTACCCACATGTACCTTTCGCTGTGAGCCTCCGTAGGGGATCCCCGTTCGGGGCAGAGAGCGGTCGCTTCAGGTTTGTCGCCCACCGGCCCTATGAGGGCGCCTCTACTTTTTGGGCATGCTTATCGTCAGTTTGGGAATCACGGAAGTCGTCGTCCCATTGTAGGCCGCTGTGTGTGTAGCTGAGTCATAGCTAGTCAATGTGTTACGGCGTCTCTATACTCGCCGTTCGGGGAGAGGTCAGTTAGAGGGGACGCTCCTCACTAGTGGTGTGTCCATGTTAGATTGTGTTAATGTTTATAGAGAGTGTATCTCTATCTTGAAACCTAAACATTCTCATATCAATGGTTCGTTACATTACATCTTCCCAGTTCCTCCCCCTCCCCTCCTGGTTAATTCACATTATTACTTTAAAAAATCAAAATATGAAAATGAAACCCAGTTTAAGAGAAAAGTAAGAAATAAATCCAAGTCTCTCAATCTGTATGCCTATGTGGGTCCCCATGTGGCCCATCACAGTGCCCGGACCTCCATGTGGGGGTGCCTGGAGTAGTGGTATTTGCTTACCCAAGATGGTCCCCCATCAGAGGCGCGGCCTCGGACCCGGGTCCCCCACATGGGTTCCGCTGCTCTGCATTGCTTCGTCACAGGGGATGTTGGGAGCTCCGGATCCAAGGTTCCATCAGACCCGCACAGAAGCCGTTCCCAGCCAGAGGTGCAGCCCCGGCAACCCTGCTCTGCACCGCTTCGTCGCAGGGGGGTGGCGGAAGTCCCGGATCCGGCGGCCTGCAACACTCAGCGGGCTCAACCAGTCCTGGGCTCGGCCAAAGCAGGTTCGTGGTTATGTTAAGGAGAGTAGTTCTTTATAGGTTACGTTCATTATGGGTGTGAGTTGCATAGAGTAGTATGTCCAATTTTGCCGGTAGACCAGGGATCGTCCTGGATTAATGTTTCTTTTGGTTCATTGTCCATTCGGTTTTGAGTTTTCCGCTTGTCTTTGGTGTGTTCTGGGGGTCAGGTGTTATTTGTATGTCCCAGCCTTGTAATTTCTGTTCGCCATCTTCTGGTGTTTGTATCACCGTCGTTTTCCCTTCTTTTGTTATGATGAGTTTAGTGGGGAAACCCTACTTATAGCGAATGCCCTGTGCTCTCAGCGCTCCTGTTATCTGGGAGAACTCCTTCCTTCTCCGGAGTGTGGTTGCAGATAGGTCCGCGTATATCCGGACCGCTGCATATTCCTCCGGCGGCCTGGCTCGTGTTTTGCAGCTTCTGAGTATATGCTCTTTGACATGGAAATAGTGAGCTCTCAGTAACACATCTCTTGGGACCGTAGGGGGGAGATGGCGCGGTTTAGGGATGCGGTGCATCCTATCTATCAACAGCATATCTGTCGGTATTTCGGGTGCATGGGCTTTCAAGCATCCTCTAATGTAGGAAGGCAGGTTATCGTTGGTGATTTCTTCAGGGATTCCCCTTAGTCGGAGGTTGTTCCGGCGGGAACGGTCCTCCATATACGTTAGTTTCTCTTCCATATTCTTTAGTTGTGTGGATAGTTGTTCCACATTGGTGGCTAGGTCATTATGCGCCGTAGCGAATTCGTCATATTTATCCTCCATGGTTGTTGTCCTCCTTCCCAGTTCCTGGATATCTTTTTTCAAAGAATCCGCGGTATGTTGCCATGTAGTTAACAGCTTGGTTGATAGTATCTCCAGAGCAGCTGAGAGATCTGCCTTCGTGATTTGTGTGTCGTTTGTGTGCGTGCTGGATCTTGAGCACTGTTTGCCGTCATCGGATTCAGGATCCTCGGTGTCAATTGAGGCCTGTTCCGCCGGAGCTGCAGACGACGTTTTCTGACTGAAAAGATTGAGTTTTTCGGGTTTCGCCGAACCCCTTTTGTTTTTATGGTGTGACATCTTTATTGAGGCTCGCTGGATGCAGTTTCTGCTATTAGGATTATCGCGGATTAGGTGCCCATATGGCAGAGCAGATTTCTATGCGGCCATCTTGCTCCGCGTAGGCCACGCCCCCTTCATCTGTGTATGTTTTAAAGGAAACCTGTCATAGGTCTTTTAGTTATTTTTCTTAACAGATGAGATAAAAAAAAATGAACACAACAATGAATGTGTGTAGCTTAGCCCATTTGTAGTGATTGATATAAAATAAGCAGGCATTATATACAGGGGTGCAAAAAAAAAAGAAAATATATAGGAATTAATAAAGGTGTTTTGAGTCCATAATCAGACAGAACCATCCGGGGATGAAATGAGTCTTGAAGAGTTTCACAGGTTTTACACATTAAATCATATTATTTAATACAAACCCAAATAACAATGCATAATATATAATGACTTATTTTGTCATCTCCTAAACACACTCAGTTATTTCAAACATAAAACATCAAATGTGTGTAATATGAAACTTCACTAATCACTTTTCCTTTTCTAAACAGGCTACCTCTTAAAGCAGAGCCCCAGACATTCCTCCAATTATCCACTAATCTGGATATTTCTCCAAAAAATGAGAAGGGGAACAGATGGGAGCCATGGGAGCAGAATGGTGGGTTTGTGGAAGAAATTCTAAAATGTTGCCAACAAGGCACAGAGAGACGTCGCCTTCCCCCTTCTGTTACATCTAAATTTGCTGTGCTTGATAAAAGGTAAAAACTATATGATCACATTAACAAATTGCGATAATAACTGTGGCGAAACCAACCTCGCCACTGTGAACTGGAGAAGCCTGGTTGCTCGCCTGCTCCCTTTGGACTATGGCCCTGCAGGTTAAACCATTTATTTCCCCTGCAGAAAGGCTTATTTGTGTGATCTGAGTGCCATTCATCTAATAATGTGCACTCAGATCCCAGCTATCTGGGGATATGTGAAATGTCTGTGTTATGTGTAAATGTGACTTTATGTATTTTAAAGTGTTTTGTGTCTATTTGCAACCATGTGCTTAATGGAGTCTTGTGTCTATCCTGGGAGATAATTGAATTACTCTCCAGGATAGAAGACTCTGAAACTGGTTTGGGCCAGAAAGCAATGCTTCATTTAGTCACAAAGGACTTTCCCTTAACTTTTGAACCCCTGGTCTGATTCGTGCCATTTTTTAATATGTTGTTCCCATGAATGGATTGATTATGAAAATGTATGTTTTATGTTTGTGACATGTATATTTTAGAAGTTATAAATATTGTGTAAAAACTGTATTCCTCTGCCGGTGATAATGAGATTACCCATTGTGTTCAGTAATCATATCACATGCAGAGGGGAGGATTTTGTGTGGGAGTGTCTGGGTGTATTGTACGGATTGATTGGTTGTTTTGTAACACCCTGTGGGCTGTACTATGTTTGTGGATTGGGAATAAAAGAGACTGTATGTGACAGTACAGAGAGTTCCTGTTTTAACCCTCAAAGTGAAGTGTTGTCTCATTATTGGGGGAAGGATTTATTGTATGCTGTTTCAGTTTGACTGCTAGGAGAGTAAACCTATTCGTATGGTTCCTATTCAACTGTCTACAGCATTCAAATGCTTGAGAGGATTCATATGCTTCTCCGGTTCGGTGGTTGTGGTGTCTGCTGCAGTGCTTGGAGTCCTCAGGAAGCGCTAGGAGCAACGGAGGTACCCAGTCGGGGTGCCAGGTGATCCGTTACATTGGTGGCAAGCGGTGGGATGGCGTCCTAGGGCGAGGTAAAGCAGCTCAGAGACACCATTCGTGGAGTTACAAATTGAGGGCAACGCGAGCACACGTGCAGCGCCCCTGGGAGCAGAGGTATCCAGCGACTTGGAGCAGACAAGTATGGAAGGGTCTGGTGATGATTGGATGGCCGAGGTGAGGCAGCGAGTGGCCCAGTATGGGGATGATTTACCCATGGAGGTACGCCGGGTGATCTGGAACCAGGTCACGGCCGAGCGAAACACAAGGCGGGCCCGAGAATTCCGTCTGGCGAAAGAGAGAGAGTATGCTCAGCGGAAGGAGTGTTACAGCAGCCGAGTAGAGGCTGCATCCGAGGAGGCTAGCCGTCTCCCCCTGAGGCGGCCGCAGGAACCTGAAGTAGGGGTCCTCATAGACTGGTCCTGTGAGGAACCACAACAGGCAGGTGGAGATGGGACTGGCCCAGATCCCCAGCAGCCGGAGTTGCCAGGTGGTCCTTACTCGCAAATGTTGAGGGACCTCACAGACTGGTCCTGGGAAGACCCACAGATGGCAGGTGGAGATGGGACGGCAGTCTCTCTACCGGCCCTACAGGGATGCTGGGCGGTCAGCCCAGATCTCCAGCGGCAGTATTTATCACAGGGAGCTGAAGGTGCTGTCCTTCCTCCCCAGCGGCAGTGTGAGTCCCAGGGAGCCGAAGGGGTCGTCCTTCCTCCCCAGCGGCAGTCTGTTTCCCAGGGAACGGAAGGTGCAGTCCTTCCTCCCCAGCGGCAGTGTGTCCTGCAGGAAGCGGAGACAGTCTGTCTTTCTCCCCAACCACAGGACAAAATAATGAAAGGGGAGACAGCTGGTCCCCCTCTCCACCAGCAGAGAGAGTGTCAGGGAGAGGAGCCTGATACCCCCTCTCCCCAGCGGCAGTTTACAGTTCAGAGAGAGGAGCTTGTTACACCCTCTCTCCAGCGGCAGCCTAACCCAGCAAGGGGAGATGTTACACCCCCCAGCAGTGCAGATGGGACTGTAGTCTCTGCACTTACAGCACAAGGGGTAGGGACAGTCGGTCCTGTTCCCCAGCCACAGAGCGGTGTATCCAGAGGGGAGACAGTCGGTCTCTCCCTCCCACAACCAGGCTCCCACCAGGCTACTTCCGTGGTAGCACTGGCATCAGAGCAGAGTACCGCTGGTCTCTGCCCACTCAGCAACCCACCAAGGCAGCCTAACAGTTGCCCACACAGTCGTGGTGAGGCACCTGGACATGGACAAAGTTTTCCTCTACCCAGGTGTATTAACCAGTTATTGTGGGTGGGCTGTACTGCTGTTTCTGTTTTGTGGGTGGG